TAAAATATCAAGATATTTTAAACAACGTTAATATTCATAGTAAATGCTTATAAATTGTTTCGGTAAAGGCACCAGTATGCTTTTATTTCAAATACTCAAATATTTTTTATTGTTAATGTCCCGTAAGTGTTTCCAAAACGTAATAACTTGTCAATTACATGAACCACCATTTTTTCTTCTGATACTTTTTTGAAATTAGTACAATAGTTATAATCTGTCAAAGTAACATTCAACACTATCAGATAACAAACATATTTTAAAACATTTATTTTAACGTAGCAAAACTCATGTCTGTCCTTTTTTTAAAGATGGAAAAAAAGAATCATTCGTTTCTATGTTATTATGTGCCACATTCACGCGCTTTTTTATCTCCTTCCGCAAAGCGGGGAAGCGATTATAGGAAGGGCCTCGGTCTGTCAGTCCGTCTGTCCTTCTGAAACACTTTCGTGTCCGTTCCATAACTTTTAAACCTCTGAATAAAAATTGGAAATAACTTGACGCAAGTGATCACCATTACGAGACGATGTGCAGAGCGCAAAAATTGGGTTGCTAACCCCAAGGTCAAATTCATTCTTCAAGGTCAAGTGTTAAAGATCTACATTTCGTGCCGCAGAAAATAATTTGAAATAACTTGGCACAAGTGATCACCATTATGAGACGATGTGCAGATCACAATAATTAGGTTGCTACCATGTTACACGTAACGTGTTGTTAAAAATTCTCCATTTCGTGTCCGCTCTATAACATTGAAACCGCTGCAATGCTTTTAGAATAACTTAACAGAATGATAACCATTAGGACACCATGTGCAGAGTCAAACAATCAAGACACTACCCTCAAGGTTAAGGTCACACTCAAAGGTACAATATAAAAACATCTATAACTTATGTATAACTTTTTGACAATTGAAAGGTTTTTTAATTACTCGGTACAAATGATCCCCACCATGACACAATCTGCAAAGAACAACATCAAGTTAGCTACCCCCAAGTCACATTCAGGTTGCTACCCCAAGGTCAATGTTAAATGTTCTAAATATTTTTTTGAGTTAATGGAAGATTTTAAATAACTTGGCACAAATAATTACTACCATAAGAATATGTGCTTAGCACAACATTTAGGGCATGGTTTGTTAAAGATCAAGAAGTACTCATTGATGTTCGCTGCGGAAGGGGGTTTAGCTGTCCCTCTTTATAATAATGCACTTAGAGATCAGCAAGGAATTAATCGTTAAATAAGTGAAAAACTCACGAGGAAAAATATATGTCTGTTATTTCTCAGTCGCCATCTACATCTACTCCACTGATAACTATGGACCATTTTCACCCATCTAGAGGAAATTTTATAAAGCAACAGCACCCATTTTCCCTTCATACACTAGAGAATCTTTTACAACCCATAAAGCAATTTGATCAGCATCTCTGTCACAGACATGTCTTGTCGATTGCAAACTCTATAGAATAGAGGGCTTTGGAACAGAATTAGTGCATCTATTCCATCTGACTTGATGGTATTGGAACTAACATTATGCTTGCTTCTATACTTCTCTATGATAAAGAGAGCTTACTTTTTGCTGAAAAACATCATGCAAAATGATTACTGAATTCACTTGCATGTAATTATAAATTCATGTGTCCTCTTCCGAACCATATAACTGACAAATTTTAATATGTTGTATGTTAAATTGGATTTTTCTTTAAGGACAGCGTACTATGTAGAACATTCTTTACTTGTTATTGATATAGCGAAATGTTAAATGGTATGTTCCTGTCAATACCTTTAATTTAACTTACATTGTCGACACTATTTCACCATACATAATTGATTTTGATCAATACTTGGCGAATTCGACGTGTCTTAGCATTCATATTCTTCAATATGATCACAAATAAAATGCAATAACAATCACTGCGCATCGACAACGTTTACGAGAATGACAACGATAGCGTTATAATAGTAAAATGTTACGAAAAGCACTAAGCAGTTGGCGGTAAGCCTAATGCGACTTTTATATTAACAACAGGCAGGTGTCGCTTATTCGGCACATATTGTATTTTCCCGGCTATCACCGCTATTTTGGCGCGTATATTATTATATTGCATAATCTTTTTCTACTGATATTTATCTTTTTTCCTAGGCAATTTATATATTTAGTCCATATAAACGCAAAAGATAGAGTAATAGCGTGTAATTTCAGACGGGAAGGGAGTTCATTGTTGTATGGTCACCGCAGATTCTGTATGGAATATTCCGATGAGAGGCGAAATGTGGAAAAGTTCCGTTGATCTCGATAACCGAGTCCTCGCCACTTAACAGTTCATAATCGCTAGGCATTGTTTAAATTATTTAATATACAATGTCAGATGATTAAAAAATTTTCAACAAAGCATCTATTTAGCATAAACACTGAATAATGGAAACAAGCAAAAGCTCACCGTTCTCACGTCATGTGAGCGATAAATCATTAACCCATCGTGTATTTTCGGTGTACAAAAGGGATGGCTTCTACAAAAAAAGTAATACAAAAAGAACTAGTCAAATGATGGTGCAGAAATATGTCACGCGCATGTCCAGTTAACAGATTTAGTGGCTACAAGTATTCCAATTATCAGATTGTTTTTGAACCTACATCATTTTCAGTGAAACCTAAGCTTGGATGTAGACGTTATCCGGAAGTCGGCAAACGTTTACCGTTATAGCTTAACAGTGCACTACCCGTCACAATAGATTAGTCAACCTGTTAAGCTTATTTTCAAAGTTGTTACTAACTTACTGTAAAAAGTGTGTTTGTACCTACGTTATTTGCAGGGAAAAAACCTAAATATTCTTGATTCCGGAGTTATCTATTAGAAGGACCCCTTTTCAGAGATTAGGAACCTTCAAATAATCTCTTATTAATTATTGTTAAGAAACAAATGATAGTAGTCACATAACAATATTCACACAAGGAAAATGATTGTTTTCTTCTCAAATTTATAAAAAAATGTGTAAGTCGTCAGTAAGAGAAACAAATTACGCAATAAATTTTACAAAATACGCAACTGAATTTTTAAATGCGTATCAAAATCCATTTCAAAAACCTAAAATACGCAATTGTCTCAAACGCTTATTGTCATTTTCGTCACCGCAACATTTTCCAGTCGTCTACTCGTGGTTTTCAACAATTGCTATCCGAATATACCCAAATGCAATTCAGGGCTTACCAATCGACGGTCTAAGGTCTTCAACGGGGACGTCCCCGGTCTCCAAAGACCGACAAAGTCAAATCAATAAAGCACGAAAATGTCAATTTTTATAATAATCTACTCTGATCGACAGACCTGCAGAGACCGTTGATTTTGCGAAAAAGGTAGGTTCGTCTGTATCAATAGACCTTTTGAAAGCAAAATGGCGTCTTCAAAAGGGAGCGAATATTTGAAACAAAACAGTTCTAAGTAATTAAAAAAATCCGTGCGAAAACAAAGTTGTAAGAAATGTTCTGGGCGATTAGCTTTATGTGCGATATTCCGGAATGTAGACAAAAAAAGACACACAAAAAACTGTCACATTCGGGCGCTCGCTTAATCATGATAATCTGATATGTTAAGCAGAAATTGTGTTGATTTTTTTCCTTGACCAGACATTTGAAGGAAATAAACACTTAAGAACATAATTGCACTTTTGATAATTTTATTTCAAATGGACATGCAAAAGTTAAGTACTGAGTTCAAAATATAATATGTATCGATTAAAACAGATGAAATAATTAGCAACTTGTTTTATTTGAATCCTGACATAGATCTGATATGTGTATTTTTATATAAAAATAAAAACAATTGTGAAAAGTTCTAGTAAATTAACACGTGAATAAAGTTTTGGCCTTTATAACTTCTCTTAAAATAGTTTAAGCTTTATTGGTATTAAAACCAAGAAATTCGTATCTACCCAATCGATCTAAAACTCGTAGGGTAACTGGTTTTAGAATACCCAATTAAATAGAGCAAATATCCAATTCCAAATGAAATGATACAGTAATACCTAATTCACATGTTGCTCAGATTTAAATAATTCCTTTTTAAAACTTGTTTGGCCATTTTCCTACTAAAAAAGCTTATTAAAAAAAAACCCTAAAAGTTACCAAAAAGAGAGGATTTATAAAGTTTCCCTAACTTTTTAAGTACAATGTACATCGGTTGATCTTGTAAAATATAAGATACTTGTTCTTTGAATTTATCAGGTACCATATTTGTAATTACATTTAGAAATATTTACCCTTTAAATACATATATTAATTATATATTATAATATAAATTATACACCTTTATTTTTTCAAATGAAGATGAGATGAGAGTTACATAGTAGTGTTTAAAAAAAAAAACTTGACACTTCTTGTGGTTTGCGCCCACATGGCCCTAAGTTTCAATATAGATGATAGTAATTCTAGCCTGAAAACTCTGAAAAGTGGGGGTAATGCATCAGGATGGTCATACCTTAATTAAATTAGATAAAAAAAAGAGTTAATACATTTTATATAAATTCAGATAAAACTGTATTATCATTGAAAGTTAAAAATTTCCGTAATGGTTATTTAAGTTTGAAATATCAATTTAAATATTTCTTGTTTTATAATTGAAAAAAATGTAAGCACAATGTATTAATTAATACCATTCAATTGAAAAGAAAATGTAAACATAATCATTTATAACTCCGTGGATGGTGTTGCTTTTTTATCTACTGCTTCGTGTTTGTAACATACCATTACTGTAAATTCAAATAATGAAATTCTGGAGGAGTATACACCAGTTTGCTCCATTCATAGTTACATTGTATTATGTTTCGTGAACAGTGTTCAAAGTTTTGCCTCGGTCACACTAGATATGAAGTTGAAACAAGCTAGAATGCTAGAAAATTAATCTTTTGGTCGTAAGTAATATTTGTGAAAGATAATAAACAAAATCGTATATAACACTGGTATTTCAGAAATGTTATATTATTGATATATTTGGACTTGCACGGAGCCATCACATTATCTTTATCTCGATCTCGCATACTGAATATGCGGTTTCCTTCTTGCAGTTATCACCATTATCGTACCAACCAAGAGCATATACTATTACACCACCACATGCACACTTGCAGTTTGGTTCATTTTGTCCCCAATTATTATAGCTCAAAACTTCGCCATTGTTCCAGACCCATTGTGGTGCAATATAGTGCAATCCGATTCGATAACTGTCCTTGTTGTACGAAAATTGCATCTTTGCAAGAAGATTACTTACACGAGCTTGCTTGTTAGGCGTTTCAAGAGTAACAAGTTTTGCGGAATTATTTGTACAGAACTGTTCTCCTTCATCAGCTTCGAGTTGTTGCTCAGAAATCTTAATGCAAAGATTAGTTTCTTTATCGTGAATGAAACCATTACTTACAGGACATTGTCTACCATAAACAAAGTACCTCCATCCTTCAGACCCTAATCCTTCGCTCAAACTTATTGCAGCAGTCCGATGCAGACGACATTTTTGTTTCATTTCATTCATCGTAAACGACATACATGATAGTGTTCCTGCACAAAACAGTGCACAGTCGATGGTTGCAGTGACGCCGTGATATTCCTTGATCAAGGAATCGTTGCTTAATTCCAGATTGTCATATTTGATATCATGGAATCCTATACCATTTTGAGAAATGGAAAAACAAAGATTGAACATTCTTAAAGTAAAAAAGGAACAAATAACAAAATAACGTTTATCCATGATCGTGTAGGTATAAGAATTCGTACATTTATGCCATGTGAAGCCTGCGACCGGCTTTTTACTTTATGCACACATTAATTAGATATTAATTTTCTACAGTGATGCTTGTCAGTAGCAGCTATACGGAGTTTGCATTTAAATATTTAGTCTCCACAGGATTTGTAATCCAGAAATCACTGGTTTGATCACCGAACCTTTCATTTCGATTGATCTCACAAATTGCATTTACAAGTCATTTGAATCGGGATGACTTGCGGGAAAAGTAGCCGGTCACTTACGGAGAAATTAGTAATTACTGGATATTCATATAAAACTTATCTAATATTTTTCAATTCATTTTTTATATAATCTTGTTAAAAACTCTTTTTAGACGTGAGTTTTTTCTTCAAATGTCCTATTTTTATAACAACAATATTAATATGATTTATTGAACAAATGTTAATCAAAACATGGAAAGCTTAACTATTTTTAAAAACTAGACGTTCATCACATTTGATAAAATATAATATAATGTAGTTGTAATAAATTCCAAATCTTATCATTTTGAAATGTGAAATATTACATAATTCTTTTCTGCATTTAAATAGTTTAAGACAAAGGTTTAAGATCAACATTAGAGAGTAACATTTGCAGTCTCACTCCGCCACTTCCCTCACACAATATTCCGGTAATTTACGTGAGATGTACTCAGTGAGATTTGATTAAATATAGTTTGTGCCTTTGGAGCAATTATACTGAGCGGTATAGCGGAATAGGGTAAGCTACAGATTAATGATTTCTTAGTGTCCTACGTGTTGTGAGATCGAGACCTCGAATGGTTTTTTTTTTCCTCTTCTTCTTCTTCTTCTTCTTCTTATAATTATTTTCAACATTATCGGAACTATAATTGCTTGTTATGTTGTTCGTTTTGATTTAATATGTTTAGCAATTAAACTCCTTTTAAATAACATGCTTTCAGAATTAAAATTTATAATGAATTCGGATTAAAATTAGAAAAAGTCGTTTCAATGGCGTTGATCACAATACAAATTGAGACAATGTTTCTTAGTTGATTCATATATGTGTTGAAAATATTGGAAGCACTCGGCCATTTTCATGAAAATATACTGCAGAAATAAAGAAAAAGAGTAGGCCTTAAACAACGGCAAAAGTAGGGATCGAACTACAGACCCCTAATATATTACACAATCACTCTACTGTCTGTGCTATCGCGGATTTGACATGACCTATGCATTAAGCTGGTGTGACTTTTCAAAACATTAGTTATTTACTCCATATTAATTCTCGTAAACTACACGGACAGAACCGAAGTGAAATCGAATATTTAAATGAGTGCTATAATGTATTCAAAATTGACAGGTCAATAAAATCAGACTATAATATACAAGTAAAATGGTTTCCTGCGGTGAACATTTTAACGATATAAAGATATTTCATTTAACTATTTTCAACATTATTTGGGGGGATAAATAAACGTTTGTAACAGGAATATAGTTGACAATAATCGAACAATATAGAAGAAGGTCTTTGGAAACTGCATGTGGCCGTTGAAGACCGGAGAAGGTCGAACATAAAACAATTATTTCTTTTTAAGAAAATAATTAAATAGAATAATTCCGAGCAAAAAATAAATAAAGTAAACACACAAGTTTACGCAGAAAATATCTCTATTTATTATGGCAGATGCCACTATGAAATATTTTAATTTTGTAGATTTTCAGTATAAACAATTTATTGTTTGTAAAATTTGAGATAGATATTAAAGAAACATTGATAATTTTCAAACACATCATTCAAGTTTTTCCACCTTAAACGGTAAAATAATTATAGAAAATTAGAAATATCACGTAATAGATTTTTGTTCTCAATTAGGTATAATTCGGACTAACTAATTCCCTACAGGTAAATCCGTAACGTACCGGCAAACGGCATTTAGCTGGGTTTTCGAAAAGGTCAATTAACCAATCATATACGGTTTACAGATCACATGCTCCTCCATTTACCGAAAACAGGTCACGTGCTCCTCCATGCCTCAAAAGTTAAACGTGTACCAATACCCTGCGGTCTCCAGACCGCAGATAACAATTAATTTATTTATTAACTTCTCTCTTGCGGGTATATTGAGGGCTAGTGATACATGCCAAACAAAAGAAGTGTCATTATGGTGGGAAATATGCCTGAATTGTTAAGTGTCACTAATGACTTTTGAATTACGTTTTAACTTTCTACATCCTGTGTATTCTACAAAAATTATTTTATCAAGAAACTTCTAAAATTAATAGATGAAAAGAGTAACTGTGGGTTATGCAAATATCGTTATCCTCATGATATAACTTTAAAAAAATAAAATACTGAGTATTTACAAAAATATATATTTATTGTTTGTTTTAAAAGTTTTTAAATTCTAACTAGTGTATATATGATCTCGATGCAGCAAAATGCAGTAAAAAGACACACTATCAGTTATTTTCAGTCTGGCGGAACTGTAAGACTTAATTTTATATTTCAATAAATTTTCCAAAATTTAAAGTAAACTTTTTTTAATCAATTATATAAAAAGTATAACAAGTCAATGATTTTTTCAGGAATTGACAAAAGTTTTTTCTTGTGATATTTGATAATATATATGTGTACTTAGAATGCTACCCATGAAAAATGATTTAGAATACTGCCTTTGAAAGATGGTTAAACTAAAATGGCCTTTAGTTTTTAATGCTGAATATTCGATCTTATTGCAGAATTTCTTTTCAAAAACATCACATTTTGACAGTTTTTTAGACTTTGGCCTATGAGAATAGTAGTAAGACTTCCATTTCTGTACATTTCTTAAAGTATTAATTTGGAACTAATTATTGAATACAGTGAATGCGTTTAAACAAACAAAACCACATCTAAATAGAACATGTGACTACTATTGAGAAATTTTTGGAGATTTTACATGTATTCTTTGAATATTGCCCTTGCAATTATCTAACTTATATATTATTTTACATTTTCTTGAATGATTATACGAATTTTATTATATATTATATACATTAAATATGTTAAACAAAGCAAAATTACAACTAAATAGAACATGTATGTGCTATTGAGAAATATTTTGGAGATTTTACATGTATTCTTTGAATATTACCTTTGAAAATATTGAAGTTTAGACGTGAGAAATATAAGACTTTGAAAAATGAGTTTTAAATAGGCACACCTTTTCATATACTTAAGAGAAACTTAAGACTATAAAAATGCCCATCTTAAAAACTTTAAACTGTCATTATTTTTTTCTAAATTGTGGAGAATATTTATTTACTGAATAATATTGATAGAAAAGATATTGATAGTGGTTGTCCTTTACAGATGACAAATGTTAAATTTATTTTCTCTCAAGTGTTACAGAAACTGCAGTTTGTAGTCAATTGAAGATATTTCTGTATCTTTTAAAAGAACATGATGTGTAAATGTTCTGAAAGAAATTTCAACCTGACAAATTTGTGCAGATCTGTTGGAATATATCCATATTGCTGGTAAAAACAGATTTTGAAGAAGAAATTTGCAAATGCAAAATAATATGATGCAAACAATTCAAAGATATGTAAATACAACAGAATTTTATTTCGAATGCAACGATTTGTAGCTCACCTTAGCAATTATGATTTGTCTTTGCCTGTCTCTAAAGTATCACTTACAGCAGACGCAAAAGTTATCAAAAAGCATTGAAACTATAATTATCCGGGTCGATAATGTTTTATTGTGCTAAAATGACTGCGAAATTTATCTTTTTCTTGTTTTGTCAACATTGAATTATATGATATTTTGGATGAAACTGTTAGCGAAAGTTATTTAAGTGAACTTGAATAATAAACAGACCAATTAAAGTGAACTGAATGTGGTAAAGAAGACATTATGTAGAAAACAAAAGATGCCAAAAGTGCAAATGAATGTAACAATAAATTACATTTTTATTATTTCACAGACTGTAAGAATTTATTGAAGCAGAACTTTTTTTAGAATTATAAGAGAATAACATGTTATGACTGAAAGAACGCTTCAGCTGGAAAACACCATTATATGGTAAAATGTACTTGACGTTTGCAAACATTGGGTAAGAAAACCCAGCAGGTTTTAGTAGGTTTAATTTTGCATTTTACTTGGTTAATCTGGAGAATACTAGATCAGTCGCTACAACCTTCATATTTATGATTTTATAATGAGAGAGGATTGGCAGATTATTCAGAGATAAACTAAAGCTATTTCTATCATATTCATTATTTAATTTCATATTTTGTCAGTATAATCCATATTGATATACACAATAAAAATAAATACTTATAAAATATGTTTTGCTTACTTTTTATTGCATTTAAACAAATAACACTCTTCAATCAGTTTTATATTAGGATCAGTTATAATTGTAATACAGTAGACCAGGTAAAGCATTGAAAATATGCAACTAATTGAAGCAATCATAGCAGTCATTTAAAAAATTGTCACAAGCCATCAATTCATCTGTCATTGCTGTGTTTTACCCTTAACACAAATGTCTATGGTTAGAACACGCTTTGTCGGACAAAATTGGAGTACATGTGTATCATTTCCTAAATTTAGAACCACCGACATCCCTAGCTAATATAGCTTCCTTACATGAAAGAATCTAAAGTCCCGGTCTAGCTTCGTACCCACTAGTGGTTTGAAGTTAACGTCATTAACCACTCATCCACCGATGCATCTTGATTAAAACTTCAAACAGTGATGAAGGCCATTGGGAGGAAGAACAGAGCTTAATAATAAGA